TAGTTGTTATTTGGATTGTAACACCAATTATTTATTATTCAAATACATGGGATTCAAAAAAAATGCCAATTATTTTAAATAGAGCTTTTGATATCAATGGCGATTTTTATGATTCGATGAAAGTTTTAAATAAAAATTTACTTTTAAATGAAACAGCCTATGAAATTTATGGTAATATTTATTATTATTTTTATATCAAGAATAAATTAAATATTTATAGGTGGAGTACGAATGACTGCAGCTTATGCTGTTTCATACTGTTTTGTCTTTGCTGCCTTTTCAGCATATATTGTGCATACAATACTTTACCATGGTATGTTTTTTGTTTTGTGTAACTTGCAAAACTTGTTTAATGGCATATCTGTTTAAATAGTTTTCTAATTGCATTTTATGAGTAACTTCCGATATTGAAGTAAGGTGTCAACGATGCTAAATTGGAACGTATACGATTTTGGTTTTCTTCATAAAATGTTAGATAGAGTTAAATGTACTGATCACGAATATATAGGTTTCGAACTTCTCTATGTTTTTACCATTTTTATTGCCGAAATGTTGCAAACTTTTTTATTTTCTTGTTCACCATCTCAATTCACTCTATCTGAAACACGTGTCCCAATCAAAATTACATTGAAATGAAACACCAATCTCGTGCATGTTTTTGAATGTTTTGAGAAGATGATAAGTTTTTAAATAATTTTTTCTAATATATATATAGTATGAGAAAAAAAGAGTTATGGAATTCTGTTTTTTGGATTTCTGAAAACCGCAGGTCAATAACTGCTGTTGTTATCTAGTTATTGAGCTTACAATATCTATATTTAATTCTAGCTAGGACAATACTTTTTCTGTACGAAGAAATGAAGCCATGTATCTTACTATGTTGGAACCTTTCAAGAATGGTCTTTAACAGCAATTATTTAGTTTTCAAAGTCTTTCTAATCTGGTTGATAAAATAGAAATTTTCTGTTAAGATGGCGCAATTTTGCAAAAACGCACCTTACATTCAGTCGTTTTGAGCATAGAACTATTACAAAATAGCAAAATGAACGTCATATCCTGAATGAACTTCAAATTGCATCGCATTGCATACACTTCACTGAAAAACTTACCGTACTATAAGCTCTAATTAGTCGAGAAAATGTTTCTATGAAATATATGTGATTCAATGCAGTTATTAATTTCAATCCGAATACAGCACTCAATTCCGCTCTTTGAAAGTTTGACGGTCAAAATCACTGTATTTGTGTTAAATTTTTTGAGGATTTTGCCCGTTACACCGTAAATTTCCATTTAATCACTAGCGGCATAATCAATTTGAAAACTAAAGAGGTACTGTTAAATCATATCCTGTGTTATACGAGTTTCCAGAAGCCAGGTAAATTTACGAAAATTAGTCAACTCTCTGGATACTAAAGAAGGTTCTAAAATGCAGACAACATTCCGGAATTTAAATGATACTATTAGAAAACAAAAGAAAATATTTTGCAAACCAATTAAGTTTTCACCAATGAATGTCGAGTGATAGAGCGACACATATGCAAGTCATCTCTCTCGATGTGAATGCCGTGAAAAGAGTCAAGGCACTTTTCTGCTTTTTCAGTTCATTATTCCGCCTACCTAACAATGTGTAAAGAAAATAGGTTTCTTGAAGACTAATAGAAGGCGCCAAATTTGTTAAAACCCGTATTTGAAGTTTCTTCAGAAGATAAGACGCCTAGTTTTATCTCTCCGCATCAGAAACGCGGTAAGGTACATATTTGTGATCAACTCATTCAATTCTCTCGAACGATCTATAAATAAAATCAAAAGTCGTTTTCACCCGAATGTTGCATTATTAGTATTTTACATAACTCTAAGTTCTACACAAATTGAACAGTCTTTGTTAACAAACTCAACATCATAAATTATACCAGATAATCATGTCGCCATATTATATAAACATTTCAGTTTACCAATTTAGTTGCAAGAGATTTTATGTGATGACTTTATCTATTGATAGTACATCTTTCATTAATAGATGGTACGGTTTCTTATTGATGAGCAGATAGCTTTCTTAGTATTTAAGCAGATGCATGAGCAGTATTTTCAAGTATTCATACGAATTAAACATATTATGAGACACAATCTTTGAAGATTAATAAAATGACAGACTAGTACATGATGAATCGATACGACGTATATTACGTTTATCTCTGCTTTCGGCATTGTTTCAATTTAGTTCTTTTTTTCTGATTAACTAATAAGATTAGAAAAGAAATAAAACTAATTATCGAAAATAAAGACGAGACTAGTCGATTTAGCATTAGTCACAAGACTCATCAGCGAAAAGTTTATATCGGGTTGGTTCCATATTTGTGATGAAACGATAAGACACTTTTCATATAAAAAAAAAACATTATTCTCTTATTTTGGTAAAATATCTTTCAAAATATTCTATACTGATGCAAATTATTTTAGGTAAATTCATTGTCGAACAATTTCGTATGACATTATCTGATAAAAGAAACGATATTCATGCTAAACTTATGTCTTATTATCCAGAAGTTTCAGAGTGGTGGTAAGGAATTTTTTATAGACCTTTTCTTCCAGTTATTACTTGCTTTCTTAGGTATTATATAGTACTTTTTCTTTCATTTATTCTTGGATTAATTTATTGTTATAGTAGTCCATTATTACCAGGATATATCATGATTAGTATGTTAATTATTATTATAGTAATTCCATTGTAACTTAATTTTATTTAATGTTATTTTTTAGTTGCGATTGTTATAAATTTTATTATGATGATACCAACAGGTGTTATTGTAGCAGTAACCAATATGACATTGAGTGAGTTTTATTTAAAAATAATAAATATTTTAAATCATCATTCTTTTGTTTTGTGTTTTTAAGTTCTAGCTGTTCCCATTGAAATTCTTAGTAGTTTTATCTTACCTGGTAATCCTATTGGTTTCTTAACACTTCGAGTCTATACACAATCATGTCAATATCAAATTATACATCTTTTATTTAGTTTTAAATTTGCTCATTATATGAAGGTAAAAATAATCTTGTTCAAAAATTTTATTTAAAATGAAATGTAGATTCCACCTCGTATTACATTTTCTATGTTATTGACATCTGTAATAATTGCTAGTATAGTGCATTATATAACAGCCATATATCTTCTTTATAATGT